GGTTAAAAAATGAAGGCCCAAACTCTATTTCAAAAAAATAAAAGACCCAAATGGCTCTGCCCAAGTAACGTAAGTAGACAGAGACAAAGCTGGAGCTATTCTCTTGGCCCCAGGTGATCTTTGTACTTCCCCTGCTTTGTTCAGCACTCGTCACAGTTACAGTTAATATTAGAAGTGGCTCCCATGTGTGGGTTTGCACAATTCTGTTGGAGTCTGCAGCATCTTAGAAGACTTTTTAAATTAGTTTCCTGCGGTATCTATAATCAAGATCATTCGATATTATTCTGCGTGCGTTCAAATGTTACCTACCTAAAGACATTTGAACTCAGGTGGGGAATATCTCTACAAAGTCAATTAAATAAGTTCAATTTGAGTGAAAGCTGAGATGGTGTGGCCTGGGAGATTAAGTATAGAATTTCCAATTTAATGCTTTGAGTGAGTGTCTTAAATCTATATAACTAGCTTATTCTGGGAATTGAAACCTATTTCATTTCTCACAGAATGACGGACCCACTACCAGTGCTCTTTAAGAGTTAGATCATTAGAGTTTTTGTTGTTGTCCGAGACTAAATAACAAATGAAGAAAACACACGTGCGGATATGAAATGCTAGAAATGTCTTTCTTTTCACCGGATGACAATAAAGGCCATCAGCAGTAAAAATGAACTGCTAAGTTCTTTGCAATTCCCAGAATATGGATTTCATACACAACACATGCATTTCTTAAAACCATTTCTCGTCTAGTGAGAATTATTCTCCCCAAATACCCACCCATCAAAAAGAAAGGTGACATTACTGATTTTCAGGATTCGTGTTCTCGTTATGCCAATAAGCAGCAGAGGAGAGGGAATCAAAGCCCAGAGAGAATTGGCATGGACGGCAAAGGTTGAAGTCACAAATGTGAGGTCAAAAGGATCTAGTGCTGAGTAATAAATTCAAACACGAAGAAAAAGCAATGTGCAGAGAAGCCTCACGGGGGGAAAGTTAACATTTTTTAACTATGAGAATAGTCTAGGTTTGGGGGAGAGTGTAAGGCCTGGAATGCAGAATTACTGGTTAAAATCCTTCTTGGAACAGACAAGAAGGAGCCTTACCAGGTCAGGCACATGCGACTGTGACCCCAAAGTGGATTTTTTTTTTCCTTAAAGCAACAGAAACTTAAAAACGACAACTTAGTCATCTCTCCTCTCAGTTTTTAAGCAAAGAGCCAGTGTTATGTCTTTTCGCTGATGCATCCAGTTTGCCTTGGAGGGTCCGACTTTATCTTGTATTGTCAGCAAAAGCAGACACTGGGCAGCTGGTGGGAGGTACTTGAACGGGGAGCAGAAAAGGCTAATGGACGAAGGCTAAGGATTTTAGGACTTAGTTTTGACAGAAAGGAATGCATGTATCAGACCTTTGAATGACAGGGATTTTGAGGTGCTTCTTGGGGACTCTGGTGCAGGACTCTGGTCGTTGTGACGTCATGGGAGGAACTCCGGCCCTGGGAAGGAATTGCTGAGCCTCTGTACACTTTACTTTCTCATTTGTGAAATGGGAATAAAATGTCCTGCCTGCTCCTCAGGGTTGCCACAGCAACCAAAAGAGCTATTAAATGATGAGATCTTTCCCAGCTACCCACGAGAACAAGTGTGATGTGGTCCCAGGATGTGTTCTCTGGAGTCACTGAAATCTCCTTAAACCCTCACAAAGCTCTGAAGTCGTTATGCCCATTACACAGATGGAGAAACAGAGTCTTAGAGGGAAAAAAAAAAAAGTTGCCAAGATCACGCGGTCATAAGTAACAGAGCTGGGATGAGATTTCAGGTCTGATCCCCAAACATTCTGGAACAATCGGAACTGTGATTTTCCACTTTTCCCCAAAACAGTTACCTGCTCCTTTCAGTGGCTGATGTTCCAGCTGAGGGCTCCAGGCCCTGTTTGAGTCATTGTGAGTCAGTTCTTAGGGAAGCAAGTCTTAATTATCACTGGAGGACAGAAGGCTGCATCTTCCAGGAATTTGGAAGACCCCAGCAGGAGGCAACCACAGGTCTTTGGCAAAAGATCACTTTTCAGCAACATTGTCAATTCCAGCGACCCCCGACCTTCCACCTGCAGGTCCCCGAACAGCTGCTGTTCAGTGGGTGGGAAGCAGGGGCAGGCTGTCTTCCTTTAAAAGGCAAATGCATCCCCTCCACTCCTTACCCCCTGCTGAGATCCCACCTGGGATTTCAGCTCCAGAGCTGGGGGTCAGCTCCCACTTGGAGAAAATAAAGGGGGAGGGGGAGAAAAAGGCAGTTGGGGGTAGGGAAGGACATCTTTGACAACAGACCTGAACTCTCCTTTTTAATATAAGCCAGATTTAACATATGTCATTGTGTAAATCCGGGAGTCCAATTGGAGGCTTGTAATTTGCTGTGACCTTCCCCATTCCTCAAAGTGAGATGGAGTTGTGCCAAGCACATCAAGGTAGCTGGTAGAAGATATAATTTGCCTGCTGGGAGTCTTCGTTTCAGTTCCCTATTGTTAATTTTTATTTGTGTTGAGGTTTTGTGGCTTTAAAAAAGTCAACTCTGTTTATTTCAAAATTAAGGCAAACCAACATCAAAGGCAGTAAGAGGAAGATGTTTAGGTATTATAAAGAAACGTGTGATCTTTTATAGCCCTATTCTTTTTCGAGACACGTATCAGTAAATGGTTAGGGGACCTTTCATGACCCACTTGCTCTATTTTTCTGACCTCTAGCCACCCCTGAGGGTGAAAATCCCTCTCGGATGGGGTTTAGAAGCCCCCTCTGTCATCCTGCTCAGCCTCTCCATCTAATCCTGTTTGTACCACGACATGCTGCGTGAAGAATAAGAAACAGGGTTTACATCCTTTCCTACTGCATGAGCCCCTGAGATTGAAGAGGCTGATTCCACCCGTGTTCACTTTTAGATATCAGGAACCCTTTCAGGCCAAAAACACGGGACAAGTGGTTCATGAGTCATTACCCGGGTAAACATAAGAAAGTTTATGCTGAAAGTTTCTCTTAAAAAGAAGAGCAGGTGATACCTGGAGACCTTGTTTGGTTTTTAATGCAACAGGATTTTTCCACCCAGACACTTACATAGAATGTTTATTGGCTCATGTAGGAAATTCATGTGCCTCTGTACTAGCACTTTTAAGTGATATAGAGATAGATAGATAGATAGATAGATAATAAATAGGTGATAGATGGATAGAGAGATGATTGATAATGATTAGATAGATAGAGATAGACAGATCTGTTGTTCCTCAAAAGAGCTTTTTAAGAAAGGTACTATTATCCCCATTTACAGATGAGCAAAGTGAACCATACTTGCTTTTCCTACTCTGCAAATCTGCCCCTTTAAAAAGGAGTTGACTTACACTACTGAGCACAATTTATACAATCTTAGGGATAGTGTCTTCTGTGCTCACTGTTATTCTGGTATTTGTGCTGTTTTACTTCTGCTAGTTAACTAGCATCCAAGAAGCTCAGTGGTACCAAAACAGCATTAAAAAAAAAAAAAAAAGATTTTATTTATTTATTTGAGAGAGAGAGACAGAGAGGGAGAACAGAGAGGGAGAGTAAGAGCAGAAGCAGACTCCCCACTGAACAAAAAACCTGATGTAGGACTCGATCCCAGGACCCTGAGATCATGACCTGAGCCAAAGGCAGACACTTAACTGACTGAGCCACCCAGACACCCCAAAACAGCATTTTCAACTATCAAAAGTGAGATTTTGAAAATGTATAACAGGCAGCATTTATATTGTTCAGCATGCATAGGAATAGCCCAATAAACAATTGTGTAGCTCAGAACTTCCAGGTTCACCCCAAGGGAAATTTGCGCTAGAGCAAACCAGCAGAGTTCATGGTAAATGCTCCTGAATTCACTCGGCTCACAGTGATTATTTCTCTAGGGTTTTTCGGGTTTGGGTTTGGGGTGGTTTTTTTTTTTTTTGAGATTCTATTTATTTATTTTAAATTTATTTTTATTTTAGAGAGAGAGCAAGAAGGGAGAGGAGCAGCGGGGGCAGGGTACGGGAGGGGGAAAGAATCCCAAGCAAAAGGACACTGAGACCATGACCTGAGCCCAAATCAAGAGTCGGACACTTAACTGACTGAGCCACCCAGGCGCCCCTATTTCTCCAGTTTTGTAATATAAAAGATGGCACAGGAGGATGAGCATAGCAGCATCTAATGGTCAAGGGATTTGGGTTAGATCTCAAAAAGAAGGCAACATATTTTGTGGGTCTCCAACAAAATGTATGAGACACCACTTGGATTTCTGCAATAAATTAAATATAGGCTTGAACCCGCATGTTCGAGAGGAATAAGACCCACCTCCCTGTAGTTAACAAAAATTGTGTCTGCACGTGTATTGAATTGTCTATAAAAAGAATGGCTTTATGGATAAGCATGTATATGGCAGAAATAGATTGGCTTTAATTCCAGCACAGCCCATTAAATTAATGGTATCTATATATAAGGTTAGGAATGAGAAAAACTCATAGACTACATATGTAAGTAATCAATATAATAGCCCAGTAAAATCAAGAGGAAAAAATACATTATTCCACATCTTTGTATCTAATAATATATCTAATAATATATATATATCTAATAGCCTAATTAACTACAACATTTATAGAGTTAACATCACCATGAAAACATCCCCTTGTGTGTTACAGAATTTTACCTTTAGATCTTACATGATCATCCTGATGTCTTTTTACACATTTTATTCAATGAATCAAATGAACTTGCACTAATTACCTTTTTAGCTGCCCGTCTAGGTTTTATAAATTTGAATCCATATGCCTTTTGGGGATGTGTGATATTTGGGGTAGTGGAGTTTTGAGCTCTTCTTATAAGCATAGAAGACCCGTGGGAGACAAAAATAGCAATGTCTAAATTACCTTTCCTAAATGATTACTTCACAACCTTCAACTTGAGATTTTTCTCTACCTGACTAAAATTATACATAGTAAGAATCCTTTCTGGGTATTTTCAGAACCCCTAGCTATAACTATGCACCAAACATGGATAAGCACTGGATTATGCAGTACACGGGACCCATGCTGCCCATCCATATGGAATTTACAAACATTCTACATCGCAAAAGGCTTCAGACTTTGATGTCGGTGGATGATTCTGTGGAAAGGGTAAGTACACAAACTTGCCTCAGTGACAGGTTTTGGTCCAGCTTCCTTGGTGTAGATCCATTCTTCCTAATTCTTTCTTCATCTCGTAGGTGTTTTCAAGAGAGGGAGAGAGCCTGTGTGCGTGAATATGTGTACGTGTGTGTTGAGTGACTTTATCTTCCCTCCCTTATCTTGACCTCTTCTACTAGCTCTCCAGGCTTGGTTCTTTGGAGCCAGCAGCAAAGAGGACAAAATCAAAACACCGTAAGTCAAGAGCTACACTCACAAATACCTTCAAGAATTAGGCAAATAATGTAAATACCCAAAGCTGGTCTTGTATAAAGCGATAGGGCATGGCGGGGACTATGGGACACTTTAAACGCCCACATCTGTAACAAGGAGCAACTACTCAGCTCCAGCTTATTTTTCCTGCGTAGGAAAATAGATCCAGTATCATGAGTTCTTTTGACTTTTCAAAGGAAACCAGAAATACAAACATTTTATTTGAAATCTCCTGAATTTAAAAAAATAACAGAAGCCAAACAAAACATGCCCAGAGGCTGGATTTAGTTGGCTCAAGCTCCAAAGCAGCCTCTTCGTAATCCTTGATAAAGAGTGATGATAAAATTTGCTTTAACAGTGGATTTTCGAAGTAAAACCTGTAAGTTAGGTGGCAGGGACTGTTTTGTAGAGTTTGTTGTTTGGTTTTTGTTGTTGTTGTTTTTTTAATAGGTGCACAAAAGCTTGAAGAACAATGTGCCAGATTCAAAAAAGTTACATTACTCTTTTATCAGACATTTTCCCTCCAGGATTGTAAGCAACTGGAACATGTAGATAGTCATCATGTTTCTCAGCCTTGTTGAAGTGACACTTGCCTTTAACAAATAATGGGGAAGACTTTCGGGGAAAATCACGGCAACACTCTTGTCATCTTGCCCATCTTGTCTCCGTTGTATTTCAGCTGTATAATATGCTCGTGGAGACAGGCGAGCTGGAGAACACTTACATCATTTACACCGCTGACCACGGTTACCATATCGGCCAGTTTGGACTGGTCAAGGGGAAATCCATGCCATACGACTTTGATATCCGTGTGCCTTTCTTTATTCGTGGTCCAAGTGTAGAACCAGGATCCATGTACGTATTTCTCTGCTTGCAACATTTGGCTATCATGGCTTATGTGTATCTGAGATGATTCGATTATCAATCTCAGGGTCTGGTTTCTTTTCACCCAAAACAGAAAAGGGGGTAGGTAGGGGGAGGTTGCTAATTTAGAAAGTGAAAATCTTAGTTTTTTTTCCCCTGCCACATGTTAAATTAACTGAAGTATGCTATTTAAAGAGAAAGGAAAATTAACTATCAATGACTAATTCTGCCAAATGGACCAAAATCCACATCTCACGGCCTGTGCTCACAGACATAGAATGGGATCACTAGGGACATATCTGTATTTTCTTTGAATCAGACATACACTGTCTTTAAAAACAGAAACAAAAACTGAAACAGTGCCTGCCTCTAGTTGTTTTTTTTTTTAATTATTACTAAAGAAAAATTTTTAAAGAAAATAAAATTTTTAAAAAGTATGATTTTCTTTTAGAAGAAAAAAGGGTCTGAAAGACTAGCGCTCTATTTCTGCTACTTGGGAAAAGTAGACAAGTATTATTTGGGAAAAATTAGACATGTCACTGCCTCCCTCTGCATCTCTCTTTTCCTGTTACAAAATGGGTTTTATGTTCCCTGCCATCTACATCAAAATGTTCAGTGTAAAATAAGATTGCGTACATGAAACAAGTTATGGAAAGAGTTAAAGAAAAGAATCCATGTGGAATTTCAAATCCTGAATGGTCCTAAAGGAGCATCCAGCCAGGACTACTACTTCTTTTTCTTCTCCTTCTCCTTCTTCTTCTTCTTTTAAGATTTTACTAATTTGTTTGAAGGGGGGCATGCCAGCATGAAGAAAGAGGAGGGCAGAGGGTCAAGCAGACTCCCCACTGAGCGAGGAGCCCCATGCGGGGCTCAATCCCAGGACCCTGAGGTCACAACCTGAGCTAAAGGCAGACGCTTAACCTACTAAGCCACCCAGGCACTCCCCAGCCTAGACTCCTGATCTAACACAGAAGAAGCTTGGCACAGCACCAGTGCCTCTCTCAGAGTCCCTGATTCTGGAAGTGGCTGCATTGGGGCCCAGAACCTGGATATTCTGAATCTCCTCCATGTGCCTCCTCTGCCACTACATCTGGGAGAAGACGATAGTAGTAAAAGGGCTTCTTTGAAAGTTATTGTATCTCTTCAGGTCATTGGAAACACTTTGAGAATTGTCTGATCTAGGTGAAACAGTTTTATGTGTGAAAGACTTAGGTAGGGGGAAGAAGGTTGAAGGCCAAGAAGTATCAGTGTGGAGAAAGTGGCCCTCCGTGCCACCCACACAGACATTAGTTCCGGGAGTGACCACTTGTCCCTTTGCAGAGTCCCACAGATCGTTCTCAACATTGACCTGGCCCCGACGATCTTGGACATCGCTGGGCTCGACACTCCTTCCGATGTGGACGGCAAGTCAGTCCTCAAACTTCTGGATCTGGAAAAGCCAGGTAACAGGTGTGTCCATTCGCTTTCCCTCAGTCAGCCCCAAGCGCCTCAGCCCCCAGAGCCAGCCGGCCACTGAAAGGAGTGAAGGCCAAGTACCTCTTGCCCATGAGAATCACCCTAAGCTGAGAATGTCTTGGCTGTTTGTGAACAGCATACTGATGGAGGGGCAGTCGCGGTCTGCGGGAAGCGAGAGGTGTTTCTTTAAATAAACTGTGAGCACAGATGCATGTGGAAAAACGTCCAGATACCAACAGTAAATATTATTATTTTGCTTTCAGGTTTCGAACAAATAAGAAAGCCAGAATTTGGCGTGATACGTTCCTCGTGGAAAGAGGGTAATTACTAGTTCCTGGGGTGCTTCTGGGAACCAGGCCTAGTGGGCAGCTCTCCCTGCTGAGTATTTTTTTCCCCCTTATTCCAGTTTACTAAGCATGCAGATTTCGTAAGCTTGGTCACAAGATTGAATGGTTGGCTACTCATTCTCCACTGGCTAGCACAGTAATGATTGTTGCATCAGAATTGTAAAGCATAAGTTCTCATACAACGGGACCAAAGCGTTGACTGTTGCATTTTTCGACCTCGGTTCTGAATTGGACCAGTCCATTCCTTCCTTCCCAAGTCCTGCCTCACCCTTTCCTTTCTCCTTCCTTTCCGTAAGTGCCTTTCCTAGTTTTAAGTACACATATGAGACTGTCATTTCCAGAGTCCCTTCTGGGTTTCCCCTTTGGATTCATAATCCTCATTGTCTCTCTCTTTTTTTTTTTTTCTGTACATATATTGAGAGAAAAGCATTTATATGAATCTAAAGCTAAACACTTATGCCCAAAATTTTGAAATTAATGTTTTAGGGAGATAACGATTCTTCCTAGTACCTGGCTTATAATTTTCACAAAGGAGTCAGCAAATGTTGAGCTCCTATGGACAAGGTCTTATCATCTATTTCACACCATTTGAAGAACATGGAGGAGTCATGCTGCAGGGGAGAAAAAGAGAAAAGGAAAATACACTGGGTGGGTAAATCAGATCATTTCTCACATCAGGAACTTCTTCTTTTCTGTCAAAGGAAGTTTTTACGTAAGAAAGAAGAATCCAGCAAGAATATCCAACAGTCAAATCACTTGCCCAAATATGAGAGAGTCAAAGAATTGTGCCAGCAGGCCAGGTACCAGACAGCCTGTGAACAGCCTGGGCAGGTGAGTGACACGGCTTGTCTTCACCACAGGTCACATGCTTCTTCATTTCTAATTTTAACAATTTCAACATATAAAATAATGTACATTTATATATAAATACGTTTTTCATAGTGGTCATGCAGCGCTCGCTGTGACAGCTCTCTTCTGACTGAGAATTATTTAACTGGTCTAAGCTGGGCCTCCTCATCACTGCTTGGGCTCCCTTCAGTGAAAAAAAGATGGTGCCCTCAGAGAGAACTAGATATCCACCCAATTAGCCAACACCAGTTCAATATATCACACATGTGAAATGGGTAGTCTGGTTAGAAAGATCAGAATCTTGGTTCCACCTGAGGAGTAGCCATCACCCTCTGGAGTCCGGTTAACTGGTTATCAAGAAGGGTCAAGAAACTACTTAGTCAAGATCCAGGGGTAGATGTTAAGCCCCTGGGCGGTGAACCACCCAAGACACATGATCGGGTCTTCCCATCCTGTACTAAAGTCAGATGTCATCGAACCCACAGAGGTGGAGAGAATCATGACCAAGACTGGGAAGTGAAAAGGGAAGCCATATTGTGTTTGTTTATTATTTCTACTTCTGCTCACAAAATTTCTGACATCAACTATTTCATTAGAATGAATTATTTTTATTAATGGAAATATTACTACAAATGGGGTGCCTGGGTATTTCAGTGGGTTGAGTGTCCAACTCTTGATTCTGGGGGAGGTCATGATCTTGGGGTTGTGAGATCGTGTCAGACTTCACACTCAATAGGGAGTCTGCTTGAGTTTCTCTCTCGTCCTCCTGCCCCTACCTGCCCCTCTATCAAGTAAATAAACAAATCTTTAAAAAAAATTACTATAGAATTAAGGACTACCCAGAACACCAACTATTATCAATAAGAACTAAAGAAATACCATATGATGAATTAACACAGGCCTGTTTCTAAGGAAAGTGAGAACGTATGAATGCTAACTATTTAAAACACTCTTGATTGACATCTACACTAGCTAAAACAAGTACTGTATCATGATGAGAGAGGAATTACCTAAGTCATTGAGACAAAATTGAAGGAAAGTGAAAAATAATAGTTATTATGCATTTGTCTTACATAAAGCACTATACATGGAGTTTAGTTTAATAATTAGCTCTGTTTAATAATCCTCATATCCGTCCAACGAGGTAGACATTGTTGTTCCCATTTATAAATGGGCAGCTGGTGAGTGCAGAGCTGGGATCGAAATGAGTTGTAGGATTCAAAAACTCGGGCCACTTGCAGCCTTCCAAGGTCAGTTACATTAACGAGGCAAAGAGAAGTTCACATCTGTTCTGAGTCTTTTCTTCTCTTTAACTTATCTGACCTCTAGATAGCCACACAATTAGCCAATACCAGTTCAGGATACCAGGTACATGAAATGGATACACAGTCATTATTAAAATGACCTCCTAAATGTAGGGCATCACAGTTGTACTGGTGATATGGTATCTAGCTTACTGAAGAGACATTCACAATAAACAACTTGAGCCTCATACTTTCTGCATTTCCTCATGACTTTTTGTCCTCAGGGATTCCTTTGAAATAGAAAAAGGTGGGGATGGAGGTTGATGAAGGAAGGGATAAAACCAAGCCTGCATGACGTTCTCGTAAGTCTTAATTTTCAAGTGTTTAGTGGAGAAGCTTAGACTTATTCATTATATTTTAATATGATGTCTTCAGATCCTTCTCAAGGAAGCTCTAAGTGTTATTATGACTAAAACCTCAGAATTGTTCTGTAGCTCTAAAATGATTTTTATGAGCCAGCCTCAATAGACTAATTTGCTTTTATTCAGGAGTTGGAAATGTTTGGTGTTAAATATATTTCACACGAATTGGTGATTCTGTTACTATTTTAGCCTTCCAAGTGGCAAGCATTACACCCTTTTGAGAATTAGGTACACTGCCTACCTTTCAGTATACAATTTTGCAAACCCCTCTCCATATGGCTTGCCCTGGAATTTTAATACATGTCCTAAAGGGCAAATGTAGTCTCAACTAGATTACGGCATGTTGGCACAAACTCTTCCCTCTTGTGAAATGCTAACTGTGTTAAGAATGTCACTTCATTTTTTTCACAGTTTTCTAAACTTGTTTTGCCCACCATAAAATGCTTTAATGCCTGGTTCCCTGAGATTCTCCTCTGCTGCTTTATTTCCATGTGAATCAGTCTGAATATAGAATATATCACAGGAATATATGTAAATGTTCACAATAATTTCTTTTAGAAGTGCCTGAATTATTAGAACAGAGAATTAAACTCTACCCCGGATGGCGATTTCTTTCTTTCTATAGGTGATGCTCAAATTATAGCTTAAAAATCTGAGAACTTCTGGAAATTTTTGAGCCTCTTCAGGTCAATTACAGAAACTGTGGGTCAAACCTGATAGCTCGGTTGTATTCTACAGAATCTTTATGTTTTGGGACCTGTGCTTTTTCTATCTGGTTACTTTGAAGATTATCTTGTTAGTTACAGTATCAGTGACTTTTAAAAAAGGAAAAGTCCAGAAGAATGAGGTTGTTTTGCTCTGGATCAAGGAATCAGTTAAGGCTAGAATGAACTCTAATCTAATCTCTTCTCTTGACACTGATTGCACACCTGGCCCGTGGCCTGCGTCTCTTCCCCTGACCAAGGTTAACCAGCTCCATTCAAAGACAACACAATCTTCTCTTTGGTTTGACTCTGTACGGGATAGAGAGGAAAAACCCAAAATACCAAGCCCATTCTCTTCACTTCAACCCCCAAAGAAACGGTGTATTTCACCCATGAAACCATACCCTCCTGCTCGGTCCCCTAAGAACTGCTTGGCAAGGTCAATGTGGATGCACAAAGGAGGTAAATGAAGGAAAGAAAATAGGACATCACAAAGTTTGGGTTAGAATATTGGCATCCGCTACTATTTACCTGTGTATTTGGGGACTGGATTAAGAGTCTTGGGTTTTCTATCCCTAAAGTTAAGAAAATTAATCTCAGTCTCATAAGGATTCCGTGATATCATATATGTAAAGTGCTAGATGAGTTACAAGGCTACGTGGGAATGTTGGGCGTTATTTCTGTTCCGGACCATCTTACCTGCTTTTTTGTTCCTGTGAAGCCAACAGGGAATTCAAATGGGCTGGAATCCCAGACATTTGGCAATACTTCTTCCACTTTGTGAACAGAGCAAGCAGCAGGGACTAATTAAGACGGCATGGACATATGTGTTTGCATTACTTCTGTGTTCCTGAATTAATATGAGGCTGAGTATGAATTCCTGCCACTCTCTCAGCTGGCATTATACCCCCAAGCACATTATGTACAGATTTATGTATGACACACTAAACACACACACACACACACACACACACACACACACACACGTGCAGATCTCAGCTTCTATCTGAAAAGACTTTGGCTCAACAAAGAACACACATCAGTAATGCTCAATTCTGGCCGCACCTAGAATCACCTAGGCAGCTTTGGAAAGGGCGCCAGGGTGGCTCAGTCAGTTAAGCGTCCAACTCTTGGTTTTGGCTCAGGTCATGATCTCAGGGTTGTGAGATTGAGCCCCGCCTTGGGCTCCACACTGGGCAGCGAGGGTGGGAGAGTTGGGGGGGGGGTTGCTGGTTAAGATTCTCCCCCTCTCCCTGTGCCCCTCTCGAAAGAAAAAAGAAGGAAAAGAAATATCAATGTATATATAGCCTCCCCCCCAAACCAATCAGATTAACGGGTCAGAGGTGAGGTCAAGGTATCTGTATTTGTTAACATAGTTAAGAACCAGAGGTCTAGAGTCAGAGAATATTGAAGTTGGAAGGAGTCTTAGAAATCTCCTAGTTGAAAGGTATCCTTTTTCTAATAAGGACATTTAGATCCAGAAAACTTAAGCCACAAACTCAAAGTCAGAACCTGCAACTCTTCACTCCCAGCTTCATCCTTTCTTCCCCAGAACATGCTGCCTCTTCAAAAATGTAACAGAGTAGATTTTCTCTTTGAAATTATAGATGGCATTTGCCTGGCGGAAGCCACAGGAGCTTAGGACCCACTTAGAGCATCTAGGGAAGTGGTTCCCAAGCCCTGCACATTAGAATCACAGAAGCAGCTTTACAAATGCTGATGTTCAAGCTTCACTCCAGACAAAGGAACACAGAACCTCTGGGGATGAGACCCAGACACCCCGTGATTGTTTTCCAGCTCCTGGGTGATTTCTTTGAGCGGCCAGGACTGAGAATCATTCATGCCAGGAAAAAGTTACTCTATTTTTCCCCTTCTAGGTATAGGGATTGACTCCTTAAAAAGGAGTTACATAAAAGAGAAATTCACGAGGCCTTCAGTTTTGGAGTACACTTCATCTATTCTCTGTTGTTTGAAAAAAGCTTGTTTTTCTCTTTGATAAAGAAAATTTCATGTCCTCTGCGAGTTGTTAAATTCCAGTAACCTGGCAATTTCATTTGCCTTTCTACTATTGTGTCAATATGAAATCAAAGATTTGTTGACCATTACGGAAGAACCCCAGATCAAGCAAGCGGGTACTACTTGGGAAATTAGAATGTGGCTTGTCGAATGTCCTGGTTTAGCTCCAGGATTTATGTTCTCATCCCAAAATTATCCCTCTGACCACAGATCTTCAACCTTTTGTGACCAGCTGCAGAGGAGGAATAAAAGGCAGTTACCAGTAAGATCGGGCAAGTTTGCCAGGAACTGACAGCCTGTTTCCAGAAACTCACTGAGCCCTGGCTAAAATTTCAGCATGGCTCACAGACCCTTGCCCACGGCCCTCCTTATTCCAGAGGGACGGCCCCAAGGACCGAGCCCCAGTGCCACCCTCTGGCTGAACGCTTGTCTGCATGGCGCTCAGCACCGCCCACCGGGCCGCAAAACCTCGCCTCCTCCCTCCCCTCTTCAACCTGCACTGAAGGACATTTCTGAATAGTTGTGCCTCTCGATGTTTTGACTTCTGTGCATTTTTTTTTTAATAATTTTATTTTTTATAAACATATATATATATA